AAGATGGTCATTCCAAACCTCCACAACCAAGATGGTCATTCCAAACCCACACATCTGGTTCCAGAACTGTTTCTTACCTGTTGTTGACCCCATGGTGCCACAGGGTGAGGTTGGTCAAACCAGGGTGGTTTATTTGGGGGAATCTGATCATGAGATCCAGGCCCACGAGGTCCTCCCGAGGCAGGATCCTGCACTCCAGACCCGGTTGTGTCATATTCTGTAGAACCAGCCAGAGGCAGCTGAGATTTGCCATCATCTGAAACAATTTGGAGACCACTGTAAGCATCAAATCACATGCAGTTAATAAAACAACAGCACGCCTACAGAAATTTCTGCAGAATTTCTGCAGAAATCTGTTACTGGGAAAGAGGATTTCTGATCCATTTAACATTCATCTCTTTGTGGGTTTTTTTTACATTCAATCATCAGACTGAAATCTGCTGCAAGGCTCCAAACAGGTTTTCCCCCAAACCAAACCAGCACAGTACAGTGCCTCACTACTATGAAAGGAGCAAAAAAATACATGTCCCAACATTGTGACCCACTGATTTCTGACTTCAGGCCCCAGATCTGGGCAGTACCTGCTTGTGAAACCGGGGCAGACGGTGGAGCCGAGGCTGGGGCTGCTGTGGGGGCTTGAGGGGGAGGGGTTGATTTCACCTCGTTCTCTAGAGGGGGGATTTGGATCTGTTGTTGCTGCTGCTGCTGCTGCGTTAAACTGTTCACAAACTCTTCATGCTGAGTTTTCAGGTTCTGGATCTGCTGCTGGAAGGCCACTTGCACAGGCTGCACAACCGTTGCATATTCAGTGATCAAATTTGCCTATGAAACGAAAGAAATGAAGAACAAGTGAACTCTGCACCTGTAATACTTGCCCTATCTGCCCCTTCAGAATTCCCTACACTGTTCTTCACCCTCTCTCCCAAAAAATGTCTGAGGATGCAGGATAATGCTGGCAGAACCACCCAGCCTCACTAGGAAGCTCTGTGGAGTTTTCCAAAATATTCTCTGCAGGCTGGAACCCACCACTCTTATTAGTGCCTTTCCAACACAGCTCAAATCAACAGCATGCACTGTTAATAATAAAAATGAATAGTTCCTGCTGCCACAACAGTTTTTATACTCAATATATCCAATTTAAAGTTGTGATTTCTTGTTTCCTTTTGACCAAACATTCATTTCCATGAATTGTCATGTATGTACAGGACTGTATTGGTCTGTATCCTGCATCCAGCACTGTGTCAGCAGCTGGATTATTGAATGTTTGAAATAACAAGGCTGTATTTTACATTATTTTTGTTCATCCCTTGTAAACAACTTCAAGGGGGTCAGGAAATTAATTTTTCCTTTTGAAACGTTTAACATTTCCTAAATTTGTTTTATATATATATATATATATATAAAGATAATAAAACTGTTACTTTTGTGGCTAACCTGGTACTGGCCAAGTCCAAGAGCTGGGCTCTGTAACTGCTGAATAATGGACTCATCAAAGTACCCATTTTTCTCCCATAGTTGAAGAAGCTGCATAAATTCAAGAGTGAAAGGTTTTTAGAAATTATGAACAATTAAAGAAAAACGGAGGCACAGCATTTTTAAGTCTCTCTTTTCATAAGACCTTGGATTTCAGCATTTATTTATGAACCACTGAAGATTCAGATCCATCCATCACCATTAAAACTTTTAAATAAAGCTTAGGTACCTTTAAGCTCTAGTTTAAACAATCAGATCAAAAAAAAAATCTCAGTGGTCTTCTCCCATCCCCCTATTTGAGAATTTGCACAGCACCAACCTAACAAAGCAAAACTCACAATCAAACCAAACCCAGATACTCACTCTGGCAATTTTCTGTTGCTTATCCTCCTCCACTGCTAGAAAACTGGTGCAATAAATAGGCACAACCACCTTCTGCAAAGCAGCCAGAAGATCTCGTGCTTGCTTCCGTTGGCTTCAAGAAAGCAATGGGAAGAGTTACCTTTTCCACTATAACAGAGTGCATTGGAATATTCAAATCATTTCAACTTCTGCTATACTAAAAGTAGTGGATGCATAAAATACAGAGTTCTCTCCTTTATATTTTTACAGTAAAGTCTGGCCTGGAGGAAAAATACACAAAGTAGGTGAAAGCTAAATCTGATCACTAAAGCACTGGGTCTTTGTGCCACCTGGGGGCACCTTAAGATGTAAAATTAAGATAATTAATAAATTAAAAAGTGACTAGTCAAATTAATGTGGTATCCAGGAGAGAGACTTCACCAAATTAATCAAAATTAATTCTCACCAGTGATGCAGAACATCATTGATCAGGTAGATGAGGTGCAGCCGCAGCTCAAAGTGAGCTCCCTCTGCCGTGATCCGGTTCCGCAGGTGCCCGGCCATCAGCTCACAGTGGGCAGGAGACTTGGCATTGCTGAACATCCAGTTCTTGCCAGCCTTGGAAAAGCAAATTTGAAATGTTTCGAGTCAGCCTAATGCATTCACCTCACCTGGGCTTCCTACAGCTCTGAAACAACTGCAACAAGGGCAGTTTTCAGGTAATGGCTTTCACCTCACCTGCCACACAGCACAGCAACAGAGCTGCTGTTAACTGTGCAATCTCAGAGTTAAAGGAACCCACAGCACCCCCAAACCCCAGTGCAGGTTCAGGTCACTTACTGAGATGGCATCTTTTGTACAAGTGTCAATTATTGGCTGCAACAAGTTGTCAAACTCGTTCATATCTAACTGAGTTTCCTCCAAAACCTTTTGCATTTGTTGCTCGATTGCAAGGGCTACTGCTGATGTGACTTGTTCCTGAAAAAAAAACAGAAGAAAAAAACCCCTACATTATATCCAACATTCTTGTAAAGAATGACTCTGCTGTGTCCCTGTTCTCTTGGACATAAGTAACTATCTTGAAGAACAAGCCATGTGACCACATAAAAATGTTTCTATTATTTGGTTTGGAGAAAAAAAGACTCTCCACATTCTTCAGGAAAAGTCCAGTTCATTTCCACCTCTAAAATCTATCATGGAATAAAAAATAATTGCAGGAAGCTCCTAAATGTAAGGAACATAACAAAGGCACAAGAACTCTTCAGTTTGCTTCCCAACAGCTTTAACAGCAAAACATCTCCTGCAAAAACCAACTAGTTGATTGCACACAGTTCCCTTCCACCCCTAATCAGATCCAGCTTGGAATACTACACACTGGAATGTCCTGCAGATCCCAGCAACCTGCAGCATTAAACCAAGATTAAAGCAGAATAAATTGTGACTGCTTTTAAACCAACAAGGTTTTCCACAGAGTAAATAAAATGGTTTTAATCACAGATCAGTCTCCCCATTGCAACCTGTACATCCATTCTAGGAAGACGATGGCATTTGCCACAGAACAAAAATAAGGAAAGCAACATTTCCTCTCCTTTCAGCCACCACCACTCAGCAGGAAAACCTCCTCTGCCCTTTCATTCCTCATTCATACAGCCACTGGCAGCCCGGGATACACCAGGTGAGTGTTTCTCCCAAACCAACCTGTCTCATAGCGAGGAGGTGCTGCTCCTGCTGCTGCAGATTCCATTGACTCTGCTGGATGAGCTCCTCCACGGAAGGGGTGCCCTGGGGGGCCGGGATGGGCGCAGCCGGTGGCAGCGAGGGCTGGGGCAGGGGCTGGATCTGGGCAGAAGCCTCGATGTCTTGGCTTTGCTTGCACAGCACTATCAGACAGAGTAAACGCGGAAAGTAAACCTCGCGGAGAGCCCTGCCCTGCCCCCGCCAGCCCGCAGGGGACACGGGGCGGGCTCCAAACCGAGTTGGGTTCCATGATCCCGATGGGTCCCTTCCAACTCAGGGTATCCTGTGATTAACGCAAATTCGCGGGCGGATGGTGCCAAAGAGGAGAGTCACCAACTCCCCGTGCGCTTCCAGAGGGGCAACTCCAGCAGGAGCGCGGAGCCGGCGCTGCTGGGCTGGCCCCCCGTGCCCGGGAGGGCTGTCCCGGCGCTGAGCTCGGTCTCCCCGCTCCCCCTGCCCGTCCCCAGACCCGCCCGGAGCCCCGCGGGCCAGAAGCGTCCGGGCGGGCCGGGCCCGGGCTGAGCTGGGGGGGGCCGGGCCCCGACCCGCCGGCCCTGCCCGAGCCGCGGGCCCCACTCACGCTGCTGCTGCTCCAGCGCCAGCTTGTACTTGTAGTAGCCGTAGAAGTCTCCGCCGAAGAGGAAGGAGAACTTGGGGTTCTCCTTCTGCTTCTCCATCGTCATCTTCTCGAACTCGGGCCCGTTCCGCGCCACGAACTGCGCCAGCTTGTCGATGACATTCCGCAGCTCCTGATCTGTGTGGGGAGGCGGCGCCGTCAGGCCTCGCTCCCTCCCGGTGCCCCCGTTGTGCCCCCGGACCCCCCCGCGCCCCCCCGGTCCCGGTGCCCCCTCACCCTCGGGCGGCAGCGGCATCTCCATGGCCGCGGGTCCCGGGGCCGCTGGGCCGCGCCGCACCGACGGCAGTGCGACACCCGCGCGGACGCGCTTTACGGCCGCGTCGCTACGGAAACGGCGCGCGGCGCAGGTCACGTGGTTCCCCCTCCCGCCCTGCCCGTCCCTGAGGCGGGACCGGCGTGAGGGGAGGGAAGAACAATTCTAAGGAAATAAGGGATAAAGAGGCGGTTCCGCTGCTCCAGTGAGAGTCAGAGCAGAGTGCAGTGCTACCGGGGAGGTGCCTGACGCGCCGCCGGTCAAAAGTCTGCATTATTAGTTATTTAAACAGATAACTAGGGTTGAACAACGCCTCGAGATTTAGTCGAATTAATTTTTAATGTTAATATTTAAATTTTCCAAATCAATATTAATTTTTTATTGTTAAAATTTTGATTTTCAAACTAATTTTAAATTTTTGTTCTTTTTATTTTATTTTAAAATTTTAATTTTCGAATCAATTTTAACTTTTTTTAAATTTTAAAATTTTAATTTTGGGGTTAATGTTAACATTTAATTTTTTTTATTAATTTAAAATTTTTATTTTAAATTTTTTATTGTTAATTTAAATTTTTTAATTTTAAAATTTTTAAATTTCTAGTCAAATGAATTTTTAATTTTAGTCGAATTAATTTTATTTTTTTTTTGCATCCTATCGGAACCTTAATTTTGCCCCACAGAAAGGTACCACTGCAATCAAAGCCAGTAAAACAAACCCAGTGTACTACATCCCTGTGGGCTCTGAATTCTCAGGTGGGCACCTAAAATTTGGGGGGATTAAAACTGAGGGGGATTAAAATGCAGAATAATTCCACGTTATTCACTCTGAAAATGAGATATCGCCTCATCTCACAAGGGAGACGTGAAGAGATTTCTCAGCACTCCTGAACTACCCCAGAAAATAACCCCCTAACTACAGATTTTTCAGAGCACGAGGCATTTGAGACACTGATAAAGCATCAATAGCCTGGTAATAACCTGACTTTTAGTTTGGCTGTTACCTAAGCAGGGATTTTTATAAGTAAATTCTGTTGTCAGATATAAAGATAGAGGCATTTTTTACCCTTTTCATTCACAGATCTTTACACTCCTCTCCCCCTCAGCTCCCTGGTACCTGCAGAGCTGCAGATGTGCCTCCTCTGCTTTGGAACCACCACAGCCAAGATGCAACTCAATTGCCAGAAATTAATAAATAGCATTAAAAGAATAGACAGAATTAAAACCAAGCATGTAATTTAGCACTGATTCCCCTTGGGGGACAAGCCAGAGCACTTAAGCTCCACAGATACCACAGGAATGATGGAAAAAGGAACACGGATGTGTGGGAAGCTCAGTGGAGAGCAAACTGAACCTAAAATACAGCTGGTAAGGAATGAAAGTGCAGATGCTACACAAGGACGTTAAACAGGCACTTGTTGCTTTAAGTGACTTCATTTCTTTATGTAGTTAAAGCAAAAATGTTCATTTCTGGTCCTTAACTTTCCTTTTGCACCTGAAAGGGAAGTTTCCTGTTGTTTTTCCATGTGAGATTAAAAACACACCACATTTACATACCTGTGGGATTCAGGAAACCATTCCTTCAAAAGCAAGGTGCTGAGGGATCACTTCTACATCCAAGCCAAAGGGTCCAAGGCACGGCAGAAGTGGCTCAACTTCTCCACTTCCACGATTCAAAAAACCCCTCAACACCCCCACCCACACCTGAGGACCATTTCCTAGACATCAAAACTCAAAGTAGGGCCCAAATAATTTGGTGTCCTTCGATATTTTAGGTAAAACTGAATCTACAGGTGGAAGGGATCACCTTGGAATCACCCGAGGCCAAAAGCCAAACTCAATATCCAACCTGGAGCTGGAATCACTGTCTTCAGTCTCAGGCATTAAATTCACTCCACAGGATTTCCCATCACACAGAGGACACTCAGCCATCCTCACAAAGAGGCAGAACTGTTTATTATTAACAAGACATACCATGAAGACCCCACTGTATCATCTACAGATATAAAACCTCGGGAAGGTGGATTTCCCATGTATCCAAATTACAAATGGAAAAAAAGAATCATAATACGGACTCTGCCCATGATTCCGAGTCACTCTGCAGTCCTGGAGATTCACAGACCCCAAAAGACCAGATTAAGTTCAATTTTTGGCTTATGTAAGTTTTTTCCTGCTGCCACCTTCCATCCCAACACCAACATTCCTGATTTTCCATCGGAGCCTGCTCGAATTCCCTTCAGCTGCCACATTCCTCAGCTTATCCCCCAAATGCCCCAAAAGCTGCAGAGGTGTCTGCCAAAAACCATCTGCACACCTGGTTTAAGGCAGGAAGGAGTCCCAGTACCTGGAAGTCCCCAGTGGGGTTTATTCCCATCGTGGAATCCCTCGTATCCCATATGGGATCCCAGCAATATCCACAGGGAGCATCTGGCCCAGTGACATCCAGAACTTCACAAGACAGGAGTTGAAGAACAGGAAAACAACACCAAAGTGTTCATTTGCTGAAGTGCAGGATTTCACCCAGAAAGGAGTGTGGGGTTGGTTGGGAGGCTTTTTTTGTAAACCCACCCATATTCACATCCATTTTTAGAGTTCTAATATAAAAAAAGCAATAAAAAGGGTTGGGTTTTTTTTTTCAGTGATTGCCACCTGTCACTTCAGGGTTACCAGATTTGTTTCACTGCCCTGGGCCATCACCATGAAGAGCTCTCAATTTTGTTTTTAACAGCTCCACAACACGGCTCAGAAATTCAAGCTTTAGAAAAACAGAACTTCCCCTTTATTTATATTGCACCTGTTTCACAAAGAGCTACATGGCAGAAGTTCCTTCTGCTGCAAAAATGCTACATCAGAAATATGTGGGTTTGGACACAGAGTAGAAAGGAAAGCTCTTGATTTTCAGAAATCATCAGGAGTTGACCCCAAATTACTGGCACTATTTTTATAAATCACTCTACACCTACAAATCCTACGAATTGCCTCAATTTTATTTAGCATCCAGTTCTTTAAAAACCACAAGCATTTTACCAGATGATAAAGATGCCATAACCACTACTGGGTACTAAAATTGAATCTGCAAGGGAAATATTTTGAAGATCTCTTGAGAGAGCACCAAATACTCTTTGGAACCACCAACAGAAAACCCACACAGAGGGAGAGATTTGGTTTGATACTTCTAGAACTATCCAGGACTGTTTTGGGAAGAATTTCCCAATGTTGTGATGTATTTACATATTAAAAAATGCACAATGGAAATCAAAACATCTCAAAGGATACCAGTCACTGGTGTCCTAACCCTGGTTACAGGAGCTTCAGACTCTGTAACCACCCAGAGAGGCATTACCCACACAGCAAAACATCAATCCAGCTCCTCACAGGTGGCCATTATGGCAAGGAATAAACCCAAACCAACCCTCCTGGCTTTAACAGCAGGGTCATTATACAAGATTGTCTGGATTTGCCCTTTTTATTCCAGTGTTTCCGTACTTTCTACACACCTATGTACAGAGTTAAACACGTCATTAATTTACAAGCCATGTTAAAACAAACGTTCCACTTTGCCAAACAAAATCCCACAGAGGTCCAAGATTAAAATATATATTACAACAGTATCAGAAACTTCCTTTCCCTGAATGTGGACAATATTGCTTAAGGACTGGGATTCAGGATTCAGCAAAACCATCTCCTGGAACGGCCTCGCTCGACCGTTTTAATTACACCTTGTACAACACACAATTATCCCTGTTGACCACAGACCTGAACTGCAGGAGCAGGAGCACTGCCAGGAGTCTCCAGGGAAGGGATTCACTCTCTGGGCCCTAAATAGACAATATCCTCATTTGGGTCAGTCTCCTTTTGCAAGCACAGGAGTTTTACTTCAGAGACACAGCGAGGCCACGAGCCCAGACTGGAATTTGGGACAAGTAATTTTCAACAGAAAGCCCTACAACCTGCTGCCAGGCTGGAGAGAAAAACCTGAGCTAAAGACCTGCCATGGTAAATGTGCAGTGCAAGCTTTCTGTGAGAACTGTTGCAAAAAAGGTCTGGGTATGTTCTTTAAAAGGAAACCATCTAAATGTATTTAATAAAGGCTCTGATCTGTGGGGATCAGCTCCACGTAACAGCTGGGGCTGTTTGAAGGTGGCACAGCAGCCAACACACGTACAGATGAACTCGTGTTACCCTTGGACATCCCTGGGGTCCCAATGCTACTTTTTTTCTGGTATTTCACCCCCCCAGGGTGAAATGAAGCAGGGAAGAATCATCTCCATTTCCCCAGTGGGAAACAGGCACAAAGAACACAGTTCAGCGTTTGCAGGTGTCTAAGAGGTCACAACCAGCTTCCCTCGAAAGCAGCTGAACTTCAGCTCCTCTTGAAAATCTCAGCCTAAACCTCTCACCCTCAAATCAGTCTTTTGCAGAGTCAGCACCTAATCCAAATCCAGAGCCCACAAAATCCTTTTTACATGTATGTAAAAGCATCTAAATACTGGGAAGTGAGCCTCAGAAATACACATTTGGCACTTTCCCATATTAAAAAGAAATAATTATACATATTTTAATATTGGAACAGGCAGTTCTTTCATGTGAAAGAAAGCTTTCCTCGTGACCTTGTTCACCTGGTTAGGGACAGATTTATTTAGATTTTTAACCTAAAAGCCCAAGTTCTAAGCTACATGAACAGATTGGACTCCAGTCAAGGCAAGGAAGTTCTGCTCACACACAGTAGCAGCAGATTGAACCCATCTCTGAAGTTTCAGAAGGACCATTTCCTCTTTTGGACTGTATGGTGGAAGGCTGTTTATGTAACTGCCACCCCAGCAGCCAAAAGAGTAAGATTCAGCTTGATTTTGCACTTTAAAAAATAAATTCTTTATTATCCAGAAAGGAGCCAAATCATCATCTCACATCATGGAAATGGTCACTTGTAAAGCAATAAATAAGAGGAGGGAGTGTTCTGTGTCACATCCTGAATTTTGTCACTGGTGTCTATTACCCCTCTAGTAAAAGCACAATATTTATGCTATCCAAGTCTCCCTGTACAACAGCTTGTCTGGGAAGGAAAGAAGGCCCCTAAAAATCTTTTGCTAAAGCAATAACAAAAATCTGATTCAGTGAAACTCAGGTTCAAAGTTGGGTTTCACTTCATTCAAAGGAATTTCATTCCATGCACAAATGCAGTACCTGACACACACAGTCACCTTGCCTAGAAATTAATTATGTTCATTTATAGTGAATCAGCTCTTAACCATAAATTATCTATTTACTGCTGATTCAAATAATTTCTCTTTAGTTTCCTATTCAAGCCAGGAGAGCTGCAGGAACAGCACAGGATACAAAATTTAACTTCTTTCAGCAGAAAGTGGAAGTCAGGCTAAATCCACACTGCTACTCCAACAGCAGTAATTAAGAAATTAAAAAAAAAAAAACCCACAACAATTAGGGGCTAAAAAGACTCAAGAAACAATTAAGAATTATGATTATTCAAATCAATGCATTCATAAGATATGAATCATATAAGACAGCATATTGTATGCTTAAAACTGAGAACAAAACACCTTGTATCTCTCAATCTCTAAAGCAACAAAAGAGTTTTGGAAGAACAGGTGTGAAGCAAGTAAAAAAATAAAATCATATTATTCCAAACACTTTATTTGTGAAGGAGTTTCCTGCATGGCCAAGGAAGAGCAATGTCTGAAGTTACAGGACTTACATGATTCAGAAACAACTATGATTTTAAGCTTGGCTTGGTTGTTCTCTACAGTGACCGGGGCAACAGTGATGTGGAGAACTGTTTCTCTGTGCCTGAAGCACAATTCTGGGGAAGATCAATCCTTCCACTGTCTGCTCCTTCAGAAACACTTCTGGTTTGTCCTCCAGGACTGAAGGCAGAGGCACGAGAGTAGTGAACACCCAGCTGGAGTTCCACAGATCCTGGAGATGAACTCAGGTTTACTTGTCTGCAACTGAGACACCTCAGTCAATCCTCCTCAGACAAATCCTGATAACCAGAAATATGCTTCACTTCCACTTCTTTCCGAAAGCTTCATTAAAAGTATCATTAAAACATTATTAGAGAACAAATTAAAGGTGACCTTACCAGCGTGGAAACAAGATACTGGCCAGAATTCAGCTGTCAAGAGAATAACCAGCTGACAGACTTTGAAAGGAGCAGTGACAGATGTGCCACTGTGCAGCTACACACGAGCACCTCACCAGGATCTCTGCACAAGGTTTGGTTCCAGTCTCAGCTCTGGCTGCTCCACGTTTAAAGCTCTGCCCAGCAGCAGCTGCAGGTTGGTGCCACTCCCCTACGCACACAACTGCCCTGCTGCCAGACGCGCACAGTAAATGGCTTTGTGACATTCATGGATGTACTGACAGTCTCTGATAATGCTGGGGACACTCTGACCTCACAGTCTGTACCTGTCTGCCAGGACTCTAGATATCAAATCGGTTCAGGTTGTAGGTGCTGGGGTAGCTCTGCCGCCCGTACTGGAAGTGGTCAGTGAGGACGTTGGTCCGGCCGTACTGAAGGTCTCCGTGCTGGGCAAACCCTGTGAGTCCGTTCTGAGACTTCTCGGGAGGGTTTCGATGCCGTTCCAAATTCACAAGGTCTCCAGTTGTGACAGGAAGCAGCTGCTTCTTTGCTTCTTGGTTTGCGTCATATTTTGTCTAGGAGAGGGAGAAAGAATGTTTTTCATGGAATCACTGAGGTTGGAAGAGACCTCCGAGACCATCGAGTCCAACCTGTGCTCGATCCCCACCTTGTCCCCCAGCCCAGAGCATTGAGTGCCACGTCCAGTTGTTCCCTGGACACCTCCAGGGGTGGGGACTCCATCACCTCCCTGGGCAGCCCCTTCCAAGGTCTAACAACCCCTTCCATGGAGACAGATTTTCTTAAATACCATCTGACATACTCATACACCCAAAAAAAGCAAACAATTAATCTACAATTAATTCTACAATTAATCACTCTCTACACCTGTTAAGAGTCTTAAAATATTAACGGCTTCTAATAAAAACCTAATTCCTCTCACATGCCAAATGAACACAAGC